ATCTGTGGAACTGTGGCTTTACTTTCAGAGGGCATCGACTAAAAGCGTCAACATGAAATACGCTCATGACTTTATATACGGGATGAAAAAACAAACGCGCAGCTGAAATTGGGCGCTCACACTCTCCGATTGGTTCATAAATATTTATCTGCGTGTATTTACACATGTCAAACGGGACGGTATCATATGTCGGCGCATTATGGCAGGCCTTGCTAACTGGCCATGCTGTTTGGACAGGGAATGCATTATTTAAACGCAGTTTGTATATTTTTTAAAGATAAAAAGCCCACTCTGTTTACAATTTTTCCTCTATTCTACATACTTAGGATATGAATAAGAAATGCTATACATAAATAAAAAAACCGAATCCAATAATAGTTTATCAATATAATAGATGTTTACATTAGGATGAAGCACTTAACGTGACATCTCTTTACGTTTGTAAGACCAAAAGGACCTTATAACCTCCGATAGACATTCCACCTCGAATATGCCACAACACTGCCTCGTTGGTCTAGTGATTATAGTAATGCGACTGCTGATCATGAGGTGCTGGGTTCGAATCCCGGGTCGGTCCAAATAATCAATTATTGAGTTTTTCTGTCAAGAAATTCTCAGTAGCTGCCCGGAGTCAGGAAGTTGGCGGTGTCTCATCCCCGTGCCTCGGAAAGCACGTAAAGCCGTTGGTCCAGCGCCTGATCTCTCTCCGGTCGTGTCGGTTTACCATCCCATCGGATTACGAGAGTGAGGGAATAGAGAGTGCATCTGTGCTTGCGCGTACACTTGGGCACTATAATCCTGTCCTGCGCCGATGGTTAGCCTACGTTGAGGCAGGCCGCCGTGGCCGAAATTCGGTCTGGAGGACATTATACCACAATATGTAAAATACCAAGACCGCGGATAAGGAGCAACGTGAAACGTACATAACTTTTGCCAATCTGCCTGCCAAGCTTAACAATCATGACAAACCATAAGCCGGCGCTCGTCAGCCATCCCACCTTATGGTATTAGTGATGAAGCCTTACATAGTAAAATGCTGTCTAAGCGTAACAAAAGCCTATTACTCTTGACTTGAAGATGCCTTGCTCCGATTACAAGGGACGAAAATAGAAACGTCGGTATCTGTAGAACTGTGGAGACTAACAAATTATACCACTCTTTTGCTATACGCATTTCGAAAGACGAAACCAAACCATTTGGTTCGAACGCATGGAATAGAGAAAACAAAGGGGGTAAAAACCTGCCGACTGCCTGGTTGTCAAATGGTAGAAAGGGAGGAATAACGGTTGGTAATCTACACACACCCTCTGAAATGCTTTCTATAGAATGTCGATAGTCTAGCTGCTTTGGGCCTGTGCTTAATGATGGGAATATTGGTTTTAACTAAATCAGTGTCACTAATAAGCCTCTTAGCGCTCCACTAATTCCAAAGCTGGCAGGTAACATTTTGTATCATGAGTCCGTATGTGTCAGCAGTATTAGCAGTATATACCGCGCTTTATATAGCGTAGAAGCTACGCTAGGACACCTGCAATCACCAACAGACTAAGGAGGCCTCAGATGCTGACGACTAATATGGAAAGCCTCACAACCTGTAATTAGGCTGTCTCTCTTACGATTCAGAGTGGAATATAACAGTAGGTGCAGAGTATGGTAGCAAAAATAGTTAAGGTAGTTGTACCGGTCTAGACTGACTTTTAGGTAGAATCAGATTAAATGTGTATTTAACAACCTCACGGCAGATATGCCGGAGGTATACTTATTATTAGAGACCGGATTATAAAGCAATTGTATATTTAGCCCATTTGCAGCAGTAGTTGCATAGCTAGCTATGTAAGATGTATAAGATAAGCACTCATTTCTCCCATCTTTTAATAAAAACGCTTGAAACTCATCGGTTGGCGTTGAATGCATATTCGAATAAGTAAATACTTGTAGCAATAAAAATCCCAATTTAGAACAATGGATATCCATTTTGTTTTAATTTGTATATTTTTAGTTTATTTATTTGTAGTTTTATATGTATAACTGTAGCTTAAAACTTTTTGCAAAATATGTTATCTATAATAATACGTCGACAAAAATATTTTTTTAACTAAATATTCACTCGGACAGTAAGATACATTACATACATTCATAAGAAATAAATAAAAATAGATAAATCGACGATAAAACTTACAAGAATAAATAATATCACCACCAATCCACAACGGGACCGGCTACGGCTCTTTCAAAAACGAGAGGAAGCATTTGCTCTTATTTTTCTTTTATATATTAAAAACATAACAGTGATAAAGTATAAGGCAATGAAAAAAGTTACTTTTCTGCTGCGATTCAAAAGCACTAAGCAATATGCAGACAGTGAAACCCCTTCACGAAACTAGCAAATATCTGGACCGCATACAATATCGTTTGCATTTAAAACTTGAAATTTGAAACATTTGAACATTGAAACATGCGATTTAAAAAAAAATTGTCGACCGCTGTAAGTATATATAACAAGAATAATTAAGGTAGTATCACTTGATTCAACCGCTGATATAACTAAGCACACGCCGCATCCATTCTTGGGGGTATTCATGCGTACAACTAATTACAATTTAAAAACACGTACGTGAAAAACGTTAGTTTGTATGTATGTCGCATAGCGCAGAGATTTTAACTCAATTATGTACTCGCACACCGCAATGCGACGACATTTTGCGTTCAGAATTGAGATACGTATTTTTGTGAATGGGTTAAAATAACACTTTTAAGCCTGTAGAATGTACGCATAAGCGTAAAAGGAGATAAGAAATAAAGTCGCATTGATTTCACTTCCCCGCGTCTTTTTAAATATTGTTTTTTTTTTACTTAACGAATCGTAGAAAGTTTTATGAAAGTAGCCGACGCTGTTTACAATTTAATTTTCGTTTTGACACCTGTATTCTTATAATTGCCTAAATGAAACAATAATTTCGAAAAAATACAATAGACAATGCAAGCCGAAGAACAGCACCTCCCACTTTCTGGCAGATAAGTGTTCAGTCGTTAAAATGAAAAAGAAATTCGAAATTATAACGAGCTTGTTGAAATTATAACCTAGTTACGACTTGGTAGAATTACCGTTCTGCCTAAGAGTCCGTCAGGATAGATACCTTTTACCTATTTCTGTCGCGAAATTGCAGTAATGACTGCATTGTTGAGTTCAGCCTGAAGGGTATAGAGAGAAAGTATAATTACAATGATAACGGATCTGCAGCTTTTTTGTTTGAAGTTGGCTGCATTGACCATTGGCTGCAGTACAAAAAAAATGATGGCTAACTTTATATTTCACGACTGCAGGCAACCTTTATGGTAGAAAACAGTTAGGTACATATAGCAGTATATACACATAATTAGTCTCTCTAGTCTACACGTGAGAAATGTAGTCAGTTATTTTTATAAAAAAAACGATCAATATTTTATTTTTAAAAGCGTAAAAGGTCAGTGATTCTTTTCGTAACTAAGGATCATTATGGAACTACATACAAAGACTTGCAAATTATATGTTGTACATATTATATTGTGAAAAGTTATATTTCTTAACATACCCTCCCGCCCACCACCAAAAGTAAAATCTTCGATATCAAACACGGTAGAGCTGCGAGTGCACCCATAACATAGCTGCAACCATGCTGCAGGTCGGAATAGTTGCTGTGTTTCGTGTAGTGGGTACCCGACAATTAAGAAAGCATTCATCTTCGTCTTCAGAGTTGACAACCCAACTGCATTCAGGGGTTTATAGGCACATCAACACTGTGTTCTCGTATTTCACTCTTACTTTTAAAGAAAACCATAGTCAGCAAAAGAAATTTCCCTGCAGAAAAAGTAGTAATTGTACATTTCCAACATAAATAACACCAATAACGTGAATGATGATTCAAATGAATTATTGGCCAATTGTGTTTTGACCTATGCACTGGGACCATAATATATGGTTGGGGCCAAATTAATCATATAGATAAGATATTAAAGGTGAAAAAGTTTAACTAGCTCTTATTGGTGTATTGTTAATGATTCTAATCGTTTAGACTAACGAACTCATGTCATTTCAGCACTCTATTAGAATTTTTTTAATCAATGTTAATCGCAATGTTTTAAAGCATCTTGTGTTTACGAGTTCTAAATAAAATTAATAATACTTGTCAGTAATAGCATATTTGAACTCACAATTTTATGTTTCGCAGTGTGTAGGTATAGGTTTATGTTGATAAATGAATCGAAAATTGGATCAAAAATATGTTAACAAGTTACGTAGATCAAGCAATAACCATATTACTAAAATATAATTGCGGTGTTACAACAAGAATATAAATATCTTATGAAAAATAACTCATTTTGGAGTATTTTTATAGCATAGAGTAAACAAACGAGCACACGGTCCACTTATAGTAAGTGGTTACTGTGGCCCATAGACATCTACATCTATCCTCGATTACGAATCAGAATGCAGATGTTTTGTCACCCGTGAGGACTAAGATGGAATGCCTAGTTTCTAGTAAAAAGAGTCCACGGTTGTCTACACTCAGTATGAAGCAGCAATAAGTTGCCGTTTTACACTAGTATTCTGTGAAAGCGTGAACCTTCCCCAGTCCAGAAGACCCATTCACGCTACAACCATATAGCTGCAGCGTGGCTCTACCACGTATAACCAGATAATCACAACATTACAGGTATAGCTTAAGTTGTACGCTGAGATCTGATCTACTAAATCAATTGAAATAAATACCGGCAAGTTTTGAAATTAATTTATAAGTGTATATTTTCTCAAATTGTAACTGTAGTTTGACAATTTTTTTAAATTGTTGTAATGGCTTTAGTCTATCCCAAAGGTCCACGAATACCACATAAAAAATGTGAGCAAATTCAATCACTTAACTTCTTCATTATAATGTACTTTTGTCTATTATCTTAACGGACCGGCCACAATCTTCAAATAAGTTTGTTGTCTTCAAGTAATGTATAAAGGATTGGCTCACCATAGTGTGAGTCCTTGTCGTGCGGTATGTTCCCATTGGGCTCGAGCCTGTCGAGGCACTCCTCTGAGTAGCCGTTGTAGGGTAGCTTGCCGCGCCCGCCGCCGTTCTGCTGCCGCCCACGGCATTCGCCCCCGTCGCCGTCTGACTCGTCTTTTGTTGCTGTAACAATACCAGAATAGTTAAATTAAAATTGATTGCATTTTTGTTATTTTCCACCAGCCACACAGTCCACACCTGTACGTACTTCCCTAATTGCAAAGATTTACAGAAATTGTCAAACGCGGCAAACATACTACAGTGGTAATAGTACCAGATATCTTAGAGTATTCTACATCTGGCATATTCGAAATATATGTCCTGCCGTTTATCGGAGACGATGTGATATTTCTGGTATTTCAGCAGTTATGGATGTATTTGCGGCAGAAATTTATAATCAAAATTTTTATGCTTAACCAGGGTAATAAAATATTGATAATTCAAACCATAAAAAGCAGAAAAAGTATCGATCATTACCTACGTATCAAGAGCATCTAATGTTCTCAAAGCCAATCTGTTACAAATACGAAAATAAGACAATGTTTCTTCGTTGTGCTTTGAATTGGGGCACGATTGTAATGTATTGCTTAATATCGATTCCGAAGGTTAGACTTACATTACACATGTAAAAGCTCCCACTCTAACTTTGTCTTTATATTATCAGCAAAATTACATTATTTATTTATTTATTTGCACACCAAATACAAAAAAGCGGACTTAATAAAAACCTCCAGGCTGAGCAGAGAAGATATTGTGGATGTAAAACGCAATCAGCGAAGTTAAAAATATCACATAATATTACCATAACTACCACTTAATACTAAAAAAGATACATATTATAAACATAATTACACAAATTATATACATATGAGGCATGCCTTTTAAGTTTTGTCGTTTGACCAAAAAATACAGCTAGAATATTATAGTAATTTTTATTGTATTTCAAAGACAAACCAGTTATTAAAACATTTATTCTACGCCGAAGTGAGGGTGTTCAATATGTCTGTTATGAAAGCGTCGACTGCTTCTTCACCGGACTAGAACCTGTCGAAGATTTTTCTTAATTTTAGGAAATGTAAAGAAATTGTTAGGGCTTAGGTAATGACTGTATGGAGGATAATCAAGAACTTCAACGTTTTCCTGCTTCAAATTCAAACACTCAATCGTTTGTCCAGCGCTGTGTGAGCTTGCGTTTTCATGGTATAGGATGATGCGTCGCTTTGGGTTAAATTTCCTAAGTTCGGCGATGACTTGTGGTGAACAAACTGTGGTATACCACTCTGTATTAACCGTTTCACGATCTTCACGTGCAATCGTCGCAACATGGCCGGTTTTCGCAATGAAGGTAGCACCATTTTCGAAGTGCTTCGAGAACGAACAACTTTAGTTGGCTTGGGCTCGTCTTGGAAGACCCAGATTGTCGATTGTTGTTTAGAATCGGGATCGTAGGCATATCGAAGATTCGTCACCACTGCTAATGGTTCTCCTCGGTTGAACCTTTGAAGAGTTTTCTTACGCCATCGCGGGTCGCCTTATAATCGTCAGAATGCAACTGCGGGATCCAACGGCAAATTAACTTTCTCGCACCAAGCGCTTCATGCAAGATCTTTTGAATGGTTGTCTGTGAGATGCTTAATAGCGCCTCTATCTCTCGTATGGGTTGAATGGTAGAGAATGCCTTAAGGCATTTGTATCTATTTTTAAGGAGACGCAATAAATATTTTAAAACAAATAAATATTTCACATGACGATCTTCGAGAATTAGTTTTCTCACAGCAACGATGTTATCTTCAGTGAAAGCGGATTTTGGACGTCCTACACGAAATTTGTCACTAAGATCGATATGTCTACGCTGGAATTCTAAATACCAGCGTTCGACAGTCCTCAGACACGGGGTTTCATCTGGAAACACAGAAGTTAGCTTCACACTACTGACCTCTCAAAAAAATTTATTCATTTTTCCTTAGAAGATTCATTTTCATAACCTACAGACTCAAAACGACTCTGTGACCAAACAATAGCATTAATCCTCATACTTTCAATTGTTTTGAGCGTCTGACTTGAAACAATTTTGAATATCGAACAGTTCCTAATTCAAAATTGCCGGCAAATACGGAAACGACAGAACTTAAAAAGCATGCCTCGTCTACATAAATATATTTACTTAATACTACTTAATATAATACCAATATATATATAAGTTATATTATAGATAGATATAGATATAAATGTCAAGTGAATACATACATAATTAAATATTAAATAAACATTTTTTTCTTTTCTTTCAACATCAGCCCTTATAGGTAAAATAATAACGACGACAGGTACCTACATAACTTATAAGAAACTTCGCTATTGTGATGGTATCTTACATACTATATATCACACAATGGATAGAGCAATTTCCTGTATGATTGCAATTTTGAAAGCGCATTTATTCAGGGGGAACTTCCTGTAGACATCCCCCACTCATAAAATCGAAACAGATGAAATTAATTGCTCAGCATAAAGAGGAGATAAGTGGCCATTAAACACAAATATTGGACAAATTGGTCGTAAAATACACAATGCCTACGTCTTTGGAATTATGAAGCAAATTATACATGGCGCCAACTTGACCCAATATAATTAAGATACCTATATGTTTGAAACAAGTCAGTCTATAACTTCTTATTCAATTTAGGCTTGTATATTTTCACAAACGTCAAAATCTAAGTCGGTTCATAAAAACAAGACCTCACGGAGGAACCGGCAATAAACTTTTATGGTGTTTTCGTTTTGTTACTTTTTGTTTATTTATTTACAATGTCTAAAGCTATTTTTTAATGTCAGTTTAAACGAAATAATATCAATTATCAAAAATACGGTAGTTCTACAAAATATTAGTTTCCTAGAAGAGGTTGCGTAGCTATACTCACGAGACCCCATCCCAAGTAATGGATTGTCCGTTTCGTTTGATTATGCAAAATGAATATTGTTTTCAATCCAGCTGAAGATTCTCACTACATATCATGACGTACGGTGTATTATACTCGTACACCGTACGTCATTATATGAAAGTAAGTAAAGAAGACCAATTTAGCTGTTGCTTCATCAGTCAGCTTTCTAATCCTTCTAAATTGCGAGAAGATTACAGAACTTCATTTCGGAGCTGGTTTATCAATATGTGAAACTCACTGGAGCGTGCAATCAATAGAAATTCCGACAAACACGGCCGAACTTTCTAGAATATTTTAAATGTTACGTTTTAATAATATTTAAGCAATTTTATTCTGAAATCAAACTTTTTATAGTACAATACATAAAAGCAAATTATAACTACATAAGATAATAATAAAGTATTGAAATAGTTGAGTAATGGCAAAAAGGACATACGTAATTGTTGCTCTAACATGAATGCGATCCGGGTGACCACTTCCGCCCGCTACGTAGTACCGTGTAAGCTCTTTTCTTGGGGGTCCCTAAGTCGTATCGTACTTCACTACAGTGCCAACTATCGTATAGTAGCATAACTCTGAAAAACCTCAATCGATCAAGTCATTCAGAAGTAACACGATAACTAACCTGTACTATATACTACCTTGCCAGGCAGACGTTGTCCTTCCCTTTTCGACGACCCTCTGCCATGTCCTATCAAAAATCCTTAAATTCGTAAAAATAATTGTGGGTAACTCATGGGCAAAAAAATATCCTATCTCTCAAGTTGGGCCAAACTGCACACGGTGTGCAAATTTGATTAAGATCATTTAAGTAGTTTAGGAGTCCATCGCGGACAAACAACGTGACACGTAATTTATATATACTAAGATATATACACACACATATATAGATTTATTTTACTGACGTCATGTTTTGCCGTGAGCCTACATTTGAGTGTTATTTCTAAGTAGGCAATTCAATAGCGCGAAGTGAATGAATCACCGAATGCGATAGGAAAAATATCTAATTCAGTTGAATCGATGAGCGCGACCTAGTTTTTATTTTGCGAGTTTATTGAAAAACATAACACCTATGCATGCAAACTTTACTTTTAAAATACCAAAGTTACTGCGTATTATGAATTTTCTCAGAAAACATAAATATCCTGTCTAAAAACACTTTTTATGATTAGATTTAGACTCTGAACAGTGACAATGTCAGTTACTATCATAATCTAAAAAAACACAACTTGTTCAGCATGAAAATAATTATTTGCTTTCAGAGTCACCCACACAGGTTACATTATCCTTTGTCCGGTCCAGTGACTAAATACAATAAGAGGATAAAGTGACAAAGTCCTTAATACCCTACAGTAACTATCAAGATCTGAAAAGCTGAAATATTGAGTAGCGCAAAGTATAATATATTTTTCCTCTAAATAGGTCGACTATATTTTAACATTAACTTGTACATTGTATCAAGAAAGTCGTAATAGCTCAGGGTCAGCGTACTCGGCAGGGATAAGCATCCCGGATGTCATCCGTGCAGGCACCAATAAAATTTGTTTACCATTTTTTTACTATTACTCGTAATTTAAGTTGGAAACAGAAAGGCTTTATGGTTGGTCGATTGTTGTGATAAACCGTTTAGGAAGACCAACTATATTAAGAACGTATAAAAAGCAAAGGTACAGGAAAAGAGAAGAACTATTGCAGGCAAGTAGAAATAGATCAGTTCCATTACAGTAAGGAGAATTTGATGTAATCGTTGTCATGCTTGGTGGACAGATTTATATAATTTAGAGTTGTTATCAGGAAGTCGTCGTAACCCCATCTCCTGTATCAGTTGCCGTCTGTCGTCTCTTAACGAACGTTCTTACAACGCACAATCCGATTAATAAGTCGGATATTACATTCAAATTCAAAAGTAAATTGATGCTGGCTCTCTTGCTGGCCTCGATTTCAGACGGGAACACAGCCGGCCTAGTACTGCCAGTATGCTGTACAAATTGTTGTACCTACCTAGAACGTGGCTCTAGCACGCTCTAAATTTATATATATATATATATATATATATATATATATATATATATATATATATGTTTTTTTATGCGCGGTAGAGCCACGCTGCAGCTACATTATAGTATCACGAACGGGTCGGCTCGACCGGGGTAGGACCATGCTCTCACAGAATACCAGCGTAAA